ATTACCTGTGATGCCTGCTCTTGTTCTTCCTTTCTTGTGTGAACTTTTGTGGACCCTGCCTGAGTGTACCACACTGGTGCCATGTTGACTGGACGTGCTGCTCTGACTGCCACTATCATGGCCCACTTCTGCTGGGTCCTGGATAGCTTCTCCTGCACACAAACCACACATTCTCATCACTAGTGCTGTGTACCTAAACCCACATTTAAGTTCAGGTCCGGATTCAAGTCCAGAGGTTTAGGTTCAGTTCTGGACTTGTAAGTCCGGACCTAAACCCTTGACATACACAAAATTGCATGTTGGCAACCTTGCAATGTTGTCTGGGCAAAACTGTGGCCACATAACATGGAGGCCAACACTTGACAATGCCTGATGGCAATGTTTTCTTCATTTTGCAGCACAAATTTTGTAAACCTATTGAAGCTTTTAGGTGGTTCGGACAGAAAAGGGGCATCTGCCATGTTTTTGTTTTTTAATAAGTCCAAAATCGGTTCTTGGCTTTTAAGTTTTTTTTGGACTTGAACCTAAACATTAACTCCGGAACCGGTCCAGCGAACGGTACACAGCACTAACTCTCACCCTGCTGAGGCTTCATGGTTCATCAAACATCCAGCTCCTAACAGTACGTACACTTTGCAGGTTCACTAGTCCTCAGTTTTATCCTTCCTTGTACTTAAGATGCATTACATGTATATACAATGTACAAGTAAAGAAGCAAGAGCAAGGTCTTGGGTGGTTAAGTAAAAATGTTGTTTGGTTTCTTACTTTACTTGAGCTACTGGTATACTTACTTTTTTCCTCTGTTGATTGTGGCTGGCTTTGAATGACACTTTGAATAGCCTGGATACAAAGAAAAAAGTTAGTAACTATGATTTAAACGATGGGGGTGAAGTTAAAAACTTTAATCTTATGTGTGAAATAATTAAAGCCTGAAATATACAATGTACATGATGTATACAGTACAAAATTCCTACGCAGAAAATAAAATGTAAGCCTGTGATGTGAATTGTGATTTTCCATCTGCTAACTAAAATAAAGGCCAGAAATCCTTACAGCATGTGATGTTATGGATGACTTGCTGAACAGTCGCTCTGCTTCTTTGAACTTTCTGTTTCTTCTGTCAGCCTTACTGTTGGTGGTTCGGCTGAGGGAGAGATGGAAGGTTTTATGGTACATGTAAGTTACTGACAGCAGTGCCAGATATCTGGCTGTGTACAATGTCAGCAGAATACTAGTACTTTGGTCTAGGAAAAAAATTGTTGTGTTTCCTGTTTCAGTCCTGAAAACAACTTGGTACAATGTAGGGATTTTTTTTCCTTTTTTTTTCTAGTGATTGAAGCGAAGTTATACAATACAGTGTAACAAGTAAAACTTGCATGAGAACAATATATTTTTAATGTCAGTGTAGGGAAACTGTACAGAGTTTCATTACTGAGGTGTCAGATCATGGAGCTACAAAAGGTTGATCAGCTTGAAAAATTCATGTCCCTTATAGAGGTCTACCACCATATTGTCGGGGAAGATCCCAGACAAGCCACTATGGCTTCATATCTTTCCCCAGCATTTTATTTTACTGTCAGTAATATGTTCATTTTATTGTTATTAAATATATGCGAACCAATAAACAAACAAACAAACAAAGCCTATAGCTACGGTTGGCATTTTTTAGGGGCGGTCGGGAAACAGGAATCACAGCATGTTTTTTTCCTAGGCCTGACAATGCACATCATTACTTGACAATGTGGAATGTGTGCATGTGAATGTCTGCTAGGCTGAAATACCACCTGTAAAACAGGTCTGTTCTGGTACTTGGAAAGTACAGTTCAAACTTGTTTCATAATCTTTTCGAGCATTGCGGAGTAAAAATCTGGATGGTACCCAGGCTAAGAAAACTGTCCGACTGGTTTGAAAACAACAAATTCAAACTTTCTACGATCCAATGTCAAAAACGTCTCACTTGTTGGTCAGATATCTGTCCCAGCCACGAATGATGTTCCCATACATCTGGGTGTCTTCAAGGTAGCTCCCTTCAAAGGCATATATTTGCCTCTCCAAATTAGCCAGGGTCTCCTGAAAATTTAAACAAGATAACATGGACTGGATAGACTACAAATTTGTTCACTTGCATGGCTCAAGATATACTCATCCCTGGCAAAATTGGTGAATATTTCACAAAATTATAATATTTTCAGATTGAAAACTCCAATACATGTAAACAAGCATATTACACATATGTATGTTATTATAATATATTAGTAAAATAATAATAGCCATGGGAACTCTTGAATCAGACATTTCTGTTGGCAGTCTTATATATTATGTCCTCACAAGAGTCATGGAAAAAAGTCCATTGGCCATACCAGATATTTTATTGTCAATTTGTAGGAAAATTACAGAAAACACAGTGTTGGACAAGTTTTCAAAATTCAAGCATAAAATTTTCCGTCTTGTTGTGAAAATAAACCATTACTAATACACATATTACTACATTTACGGTAGAATCCGTAACCATTAATAGTATAATATACACTACCAACTGATCTGTCTGATCAGGTCTAGACCTTTTAGCCGGATGTTTAGAGCATCGGGGTATGAGCTGGTGCCTGGGTTTGGCATGGGTTCGATCCCCAGCCTGGGGCCTTTCTGTTTTTACAGTGGTTCCCGGGCCGTGTGGGTGAAAGCCACAAAAGTTATCCTTCGCACTAAGCCCAGAAACCTCGGTGCGAGACCCCCGTGAAAAGCAAAGTATGAATAATTTTTTGGTATCACACTTTCATTCACAGTAGGAAATTGTGTTTAAACCTTCATTTTCAACCAAAACATCTTCATACCCTAAAAAGATTTTGCCACAGTTTTGCGAAGACCCATGACGACTTTTTTGTCCCCAATAGTCATAAAATTATTATAAAGTCCCGCGCAAAAAAGATTCCGTGGCTCACGCATGACGTCGCTAAATGTTTGGCAGAGGTTCACAGTACCAACAGGTCCAGTACCAGCTCCTAACATAGACACAGGCGTCAGTTGTGTAAAATATTGCATTATTAGAGGACAATTACCGCCAGTTCTTGTTTCCTCTTGACGAGTTCAGACAATTCTTGCCTGGTGTCGCCCTGTGGCTGCTGCGTACGTTGAGTAGTCGCCATCTTGAAAATCTTATTGTAGACCGGTGGATTTCGAGCATTAGTGGGGGTGTCTGCTAGGTAATATATGGCCCTATTATACACTTTACAGTACTTGCAATATGTTTTTAAATTTTATTTATAAACATAAAAGTGGTAAAAATAAAAGGAAATGTTGTTGTGCAAAAATGATAGCTTTACAAACGTTTTCTGAAAGCTAAATCGATAACCCTTTTTTTTAATGGTTACGTCCAGTCAACCATCCCTCGTCGGAGTAACTACAGAGAGATATATTAGTGGGTTTTGTGAATTTTGGCGTCTTTAAGTTTACTTTTCCCTTGGCCGTATCAAATTTACCTCTACTCAGCTTAGCAAAGCCGTAAATCCCAAAATCTGAGATGAGCCACTGAGGGTATCGGACCGGAGTTTCATGACCATTGCACCACAGTGAACGACACCCCAACACACTACAATCAGTATCCAAGGTCTTTTCGGAAAATTTCTAAAAATCCGTGCACAGAGATTATAGAGTTCACTTAGATTTCAACTCCTGTGTACGAGAGTATTAGTACCGTGTATACGATATAAACAGATTAAAACACTCTTGGGAAATCTAACGTTACCAATCAATTCCGCTAGAGGGCGCTTCAGAAGGTATTCCACCGACTACAAGAGGTATGACTGTGTCTGAAATATGGTAGGACGGCCACGAAAGACGGCCACGCCGCGATTGGTCAATTTCCCAGCAAGCTCCACGCTGCTATTGGTCGGGGTACCAGCTGCTGCAGTGAGGGATAGCTAGCGGTGGGGAGGGCTGCCGGCGTTTATCCACAGCTCTTAGGGGCAAAAAAAACGTCAACCTTTACGGTTATAATCACTCCACTTGGGTGGCTCTTACCTATGGCGCACAGATAAGCAACAAACAGTCATTTGTGCGGCTCTTAGCTCTGGAATACAGGTAATGAGTGCGTGAGGGACTTGGGTCTTACCAGTAAAACGCCGTATACGTACGGGAAATACTTTCCATGGGCTTTTCATAATGTAGGTAACAGGTAAGCACCGTACAGGTGATATTTGCGTGGCCCTTTCATCTGGGGAGCAGGTAAGGCACCGTACAGGTGATATTTGCGTGGCCCTTTCATCAGGGGACCAGGTAAGGCACCTTACAGGTGATATTGGCGTGGCCCTTTCATCTGGGAACTAGGTAAGGCACCGTACAGGTAATATTTGTGTGGCCCTTTCATCTGGGGACCAGGTAAGGCACCGTACAGGTGATATTTGCGTGGCCCTTTCATCTGGGGACCAGGTAAGGCACCGTACAGGTGATATTGTCATGGCCCTTTCATCTGTGGACCAGGTAAGCACCGTACAGGTGATATTGGCGTGGCCCTTTCATCTGGGAACCAGGTAAGGCACCGTACAGGTAATATTTGCGTGGCCCTTTCATTTGTGGACCAGGTAAGGCACTTTACAGGTAATATTTCCGTGGCCCTTTCATTTGTGGACCAGGTAAGGCACCCTACAGGTGATATTGGCGTGGCCCATTCATCTGGGAACCAGGTTAGGCACCGTACAGGTAATGTTTGTGTAGCCTTTTCATCTGGTGACCAGGTAAGGCACCCTATAGGTAAACTTTGCATGGCCCTTTCATCTTTGGACTAGGTAAGTCACAGGTAATATACAGGTAATATCTGTATTGCCCTATTAAAAAAAGTATTATCTGGAGACAAAGTAAGGTACCTTATAGGTAATGTTTGTATGGTTTATAGGTTTTGGGGCCCGGTAAGACCATACAATTTATATTTGTTTGTTTGGTCTTTTGGACCTTTGATTTTTTTCGTCATTGACATTTTTATATACTAGTGTTTAGATTGCTAGTGTCTAGAATATTTCTCTTCTTTTTTTTCAGGGCATTTGCCAGAAAGGAGAAACTGATTACACAGCAGGAAATTGAGATGTCAATGCATTAAATTCCGGAATTGTTGGAAGTGCCAGCTTTAGTTCATAACAACATGAATACTGAACCCTGACTTATGTTATCACGTTCTTTCTCTGAAGTAGAATAACTAGAGGTGGATTGTAGTGTTGAACTGTAGAACTATTCTGTGTTCGCTTATTTATTTGTTTTCTATTTTTCCGAGTTGCATGTTTGAGAATATTTTCTAAAACTGATTCAAGCATAACATGTAGTAACTAGATTCATTACCTATAGTACTTGTAAACATTACTAGTTTATTTTCTGTATATTATTTTCAGCACCATTCAATTATTATTAAAGCTGAAATACACGTCTTCACTCTTGTTTCCATAGACTTTCATTTCCAGTGTAGTTCAAGTCAGTATATAATTCAAGAATAGCAAGTGTACAGCATTAAAATCATGTATCCCAACATAATACTTGAACGCACTAATGTCGCCAAGAAGCAAGCAATTGATAGAAGTTATTATTGTGTAAATACTAAAAGGACTGTAGAATCAAAGGTATTATAGGGATTAGTAATTCGCATTATTGAAAAGGACAGCCTTAAACCCTTTTCAATGGCTGCACTCAATCTTTCTTGAGGAACGTAAACCTTTGTTTTCAATTGTTTGGAGAACTCTATGCTTTAATGACTCAAATTTCAACAGAATATAACTCAATGGCCAATTACGGCATCAGACGGAATTCATACAGCCACTTTCTAAGCTCCCATGAACATACCAGCCGAATTTGAAAGCAATCAGTTCAGTTTTAGGTGACATACGGAAACTGACAAGTTTTCAGCTCGCGCTTTCAAAGGCTTTGTTGCGCATAGACAAATCTAGATCGGTTATTGCCTCATCATATGAAATTGCATTTTCCTTACCGAATAGGAAATAATATTTTGGGATGAAACTTCGACATTAGTATCCTGAAATACCGATATATCTGCGTTGTTAGCAGATCTGCTCTTTTTCCATTCCTTTTGGTAGATACAGGTCAGTCATTTGGCTTCATTTTTTGGCCGTGTTCCAATACCCAACTGAAATGTGCGGTATTTCAATAATAAGGTAGAGTTAGGGATTTACATTATGAAATATACATAATATTCTACATAGGTCTGGTTAGGACCTTTCAGTGGTATCACCACTTCCTTTTTCATGGGCTGCACCTAGTCTTTTTGGAGGGATGTCAACTTATATTTTGAAAAGTTGTGAGAGAGCATAGAATGTCCTTGGAGAGATGTATGCTTTCATGAAGAAATTTCAATTGAAAATAACTCAATGACTAATTATAACATCAACATGGGAATTCATACAGTAACTTTGTAAGCTTCAAAGAACAGACCAGCCGAATTTGAAAGAAATCCATCCAGTTTTAGACGAGATATGGAAACCGACACGATTTCAGCTCGCGCGAAGCGAGGTCGTCTTCAAACCGCTATGTTTCGCATGGGCAATTCTAGGTCGATTTTGACCGCATCACGCAAAATTGCGTTTACCTTCCTAGACCGAGAATGAAATGATATTTTGCGCTGAAACTTGGACATTAGTATCCTGAAATACTTATCTATCTCTGCTGTAAACAGATTTACTCTTTTGTGAATTTTCGTAAAGCTACAAGCAATTCATTTGGCTTCATTTTTCGGCCATGCCCCAAAATCCCACTGAAATGTGCGGTATTGCAATAATAAGGTAGATTTAGGGATTTACATTATGAAATAGACATAATCTTTTATATACGTCTGTTGAGTACCTTTCAGTGGTATCATCACTTCCTTTTTCATCTGTTGCACCTAGTCGTTTCGGAGGAATGTCAACTTATATTTTGAAACGCTGTGCGAGATGTATGCTTTCATGAAGAAATTTCAATTGAAAATAACTCAATGACTGATTATGACATCAGCATGGGAATTTATACCGTAACTTTATAAGCTTCAATGAACATACCAGCCAAATTAGAAAGAAATCCATGTAGTTTTAGACGAGATACGGAAACCGACACGATTTCAGCTCGCGCGCCGCGAGGTCGTCTTCAAACCGCTATGTTTCGCATGGACAATTCTAGGTCGATTTTGACCGCATCACGCAAAATTGCGTTTACCTTCCTAGACCGAGAATGAAATGATATTTTGCGCTGAAACTTGGACATTAGTATCCTGAAATACTTATCTATCTCTGCTGTTAACAGATTTGCTCTTTGGTGAATTCTCGCAAAGCTACAAGCAATTCATTTGGCCCCATTTTTCGGTCCTGCCCTAAAATCTCACTGAAATGTGCGGTATTGCAATGATAAGGTAGATTTAGGGATTTACATTATGAAATAGACATAATCTTTTATACACGTCTGTTGAGTACCTTTCAGTGGTATCACCACTTCCTTTTTCTATGGTTGCAGTTAATCGTTTCGGAGGAAAGTAAACCTTTATTTTGAAGAGTTGTGAGAGATCTACATGGATGCTTTCATGAAGAAATTTCAATTGAAAATGACTCAATGACTAATCATGACATCAGCATGAAAATTCATACCGTAACTTTATAAGCTTTTATGAATATACCAGCCAAATTTGAAAGAAATCCGTGCAGGTTTAAGCGAGATACGGAAACGAACACGTTTCAAGCTCCCGCGATGCGAAACCGTCTTCAAACCGCTATGTTTCGCAAAGACGCTCGATTTTGACCGCATCACCCAAAATTGAGTTTTACTTTCTAAAACGAGAAGGAAATGATATTTTAGGAGGAAACTTCGACATTAGTATCCTGAAATACTGATCTTTGTGTGTTGTTAACAAATCTGCTCTTCTTCCATTCCTTTGGTAGATACAGGTCAGTCATTTGGCTTCATTTTTTGGGCATGTGCGGTATTGCAATAATAAGGTACGAGAGTTAGGGATTTACATTATGAAATAGACATAATATTCTACATAGGTCTGGTAAGGACCTTTCAGTGGTATCACCACTTCCTTTCACAACGGTTATATATATATTATATATACCGAATCGTTTTGGAGGAAAGTAAAGGTATATTTTGAAAGGTTGTGACAGATGTTTGAATGAAGCAAATTTTGATTGAAAATAACTCAATGACTAATTACTACTCATACAGTAACTTTGTAAGCTTCAATGAACATATCAGCCGAATCTTAAAGAAATCCGTGCAGTTTTAGACGAGATACGGAACCCGCGGCCGGTACGTTTTAAGCTCGCGTTATGTTCCGAAAGCCCTATGGTCCGAAATCTTTATGTTCCGAAAGCCCTTTGCTCCTTTCTAAAATGCCCCGAATTAAGTATCAAACACATACCCGAATGCTATTTCTACATGTAGCATGTATATAATGTGAAATCTGGAGATGTTTTGAAAAACATCTACAGATTTTTTCAAAACATCTACAGATTTTTTCAAAACATCTCGAGATGTTTTGTCAGAATTTTACTTTGAAACTTAAAGTTTTGCTAAGGTTTGTTAAAATCTAAATTTCGTCCCGGGGAAATTTTAATTCACATTCTTCTAGTACGTATGTAATCGTACCCAAACAACCATGCAGTCATGCTCATTCAGCAGCTTAAAAGTTTTTGTGTCAGTCATAGTCAGAGGCATATTAAGGGCACATTCTGTGTATTTGCATATTTGTTCCTGACTTCAAAGACAATGTACAAGAAAGACAATTGAAAACGAATACTAGTAGGTGTAGTTTGACTTTAATAACTGCATATTGAGCGAAGAATGTACACATATAAGGTACATGTATATATAGTAGTCTTACAGAATTAAATTCAAAACAACAGAATGTAATCTACATACAAGTCACTATATGAATATTCTATAAGGGGTTTTACAAACTGATTCTTACATGTGTCCCTCAGAACAATATAAATGGACCAAAATAATCAAGAAAGCACATACCGGATCTTAGCTCTACATTTTGTTACTAGAATCCACTTCCAGTTATTCTACTTTTGGAGTAAAATCCTAACAGACTTCACCATTCATGTTGTTGCTATAAACTAACCATAACACTGTTAAAGTCGGTACTTCGAACCATTCAAGACAGCTTCTCGTCTTCAAAGCGCCAAAGAACCAAATAATCAAAGGTCCCTAAGAGTCACACAAATATTACTTTTCCAGTACCTTAACTAGTTGCTACATAAAAGGGTCACACAAATTATAACTAATATGGTGCCTTACCTGCTCCTCAGATGAAAGAGCCACGTCAATTTCACCTGTACGGTGCCTTACTTGGTTGAAAAATGAAAGGGCCACGCCAATATCACCTATACGGTGTCTTACCTAGTCCCCACATGAAAGGGCCACACAAATATTACCTGTACTGTGCCTTACCTGGTCCCCAGATAAAAGGGCCACGCCAATATCACCTGTATGGTGCCTTACCTGGTCCACAAATGAAAGGGCTACGCAAATATTACCTGTACGGAGACTTACCTGGTCGACAAATGAAAGGGCCACACCAATATCACCTGTACGGTGCCTTACCTGGTCCCCAGATGAAAGGGCCACGCAAATATTACCTGTACGGTGCCTTACCTGGTTCCCAGATGAAAGGGCCACGCCAATATCACCTGTAAGGTGCCTTACCTGCTCCCCAGATGAAAGGGCCACGCCAATATCACCTGTACGGTGCCTTACCTGCTCCCCAGATGAAAGGGCCACGCCAATTTCACCTGTATGGTTCCTTACCTGGTCCCCAGATGAAAGGGCCACACAAATATCACCTGTACGGTGCCTTACCTGGTTCCCAGATGAAAGGGCCACACAAATATTACCTGTACGGTGCCTTACCTGGTTCCCAGATGAAAGGGCCACGCAAATATCACCTGTACGGTGCCTTACCTGGTCCCCAGATGAAAGGGCCACGCAAATATCACCTGTACGGTGCCTTACCTGGTTCCCAGATGAAAGGGCCACGCAAATATCACCTGTACGGTGCCTTACCTGCTCCCCAGATGAAAGGGCCACGCCAATATCACCTGTACGGTGCTTACCTGGTCCCTACATATTATGAAAGGCCCATGGAAAGTATTTCCCGTACGGCGTTTTACTGGTTAACGTTATCTAGACTCAAGTCCCTCACGCACTCAATACCTGTAAGGTTTCCAGAGCTAAGAGCCGCACAAATGACTGTTTGTTGCTTATCTGTGCGCCATAGGTAAGAGCCACCCAAGTGGAGTGATTATAGCCGTAAAGGTTGACGTTTTTTTGCCCCTAAGAGCTGTGGATAAACGCCGGCAGCCCTCCCCACCGCTAGCTATCCCTCACTGCAGCAGCTGGTACCCCGACCAATAGCAGCGTGGAGCTTGCTGGGAAATTGACCAATCGCGGCGTGGCCGTCTTTCGTGGCCGTCCTACCATATTTCAGACACAGTCATACCTCACTACAAAGATGGCGGGTTTGGCAAGGACTTTTAGCACAGTGGCTAAAAACAGCAAAAGTAAAGAATGGGTCAACTATTTCATGAGGTAAGACAGCTTTTCAGCAATAGCAAGAACATAAGATAGTGGGCACCTGTATCAAAACAAGTAGACTGCCCTATCTTTTCTGTATAACATACCAACTTTGCAGGAACGGAGGCTGGTTATGTGACACCCCCCCCCCCTCCAAGGTTATCATTTTAATATCAGGGCTCGAAATACTGGGTGCATGTGCACCTTAGTGCACCAAATATTGGATCGAGTTGTGCACCTAATGTTTTTTTCTGTGGGTGCACCAGTGCACCCAAATATTTTTGTAGGAATTTTTAACATTAGAAGTGTATAATAGTATACTGGATATTCTTGGTCTCTATGTATCAGAAAAATAATAAAATCTTTGTTGTAGTAATGTTTCAGATTTTGAAGTTAGCTCTCATTTTACATTCAAGCTCAGGAGAGGAGCAGTAAGACCTGCAATTAGGTTTTGTTTCATATGGTGCACCCAAATTTTTTTTTTGTGCACCCAATTTTCTAGGTTGGGTGCACCAGTGCACCTATTCCCAAAAATGAATTTCGAGCCCTGAATAATATATAATTTTAGAGCGGTTGTGTTTTTTCGAGGGCAGTTTTTAACTCGAGCAGATGCGAATAAAGAACAAGCTTGATTCGTGTTAAAATAATATAATTTTGACCCCCTTAATAGCTGCTATGAAATTGTAAGTGCCAACTTCCAATTTTGAATTTCCCGCCAGTAGATTAAGTTAGTATAGCTTCCCGCCAACTCCCTGCCCCCCTGAGCAC